GGGTTTAGGGTTTAGGGTTTAGGGTTTAGGCGCTGCTGCTTGTGTTGGCCCAATGCAGCTCTGCAGTCACTGGGCTATAACCCCAAGCTACGGGCTGATGCCTCGGGGCACCTCATAGACGTTTTGCTGCAGCTGCCGCTGCAGCAAGGGGGCCCCTCGGGGGGCCCCACTAATAGTCCCACCCAGGGCCCCCCCGGGGGCCCCCCAAGGAGGCCTCCAGGCAGCCCCCTTGGAGAGCCTTCTGGGGCCCCCCTGGAGAGCCCCCAGAGAGTCACTGAGGGCCCCTCTGGGGGCCCCCCTGGGGGCCCCTCTGGGGGCCTCTCTGGGGGCCCCTCTGGGGGCCCCTCCGGGGCCCCCAGTTCCCCTGAAGGGGCCAGCAGCAGCTGCATGCAGGTGGCGCTGCTGTGCCACGCCGAGGCGCAGCTGCAAGGGGCCCCCCAGAAGGCTGGGGGTGCTGCTGCTGCTCCGTTGGGGCCCTCTGTGCTGAAGCACCGCCACCTGAAGCGGCAAGGTAGGGTGCGGGCGCAGCTGCTGCTGCTGCTGCTGCTGCTGCTGCTGATGCTGTTGCTGCAGGGACGCAGCTGCTCCGTGCAGCAGCGCGGGCAGGCAGATTCTGAGTGCTCTTTTGGGCCACGGGAAGTCGCTGAATTCGAGGGCTTAGGGCTCAGGGTTTAGGGTTTAGGGCCTAGGGTTTAGGGTTTAGGGTTTAGAATGGTGCATTGGGGGCGACCGTAGGACGCCACCTACTCGTCTTATTTGCTCGCACCTTCATTGCTGCTGTTGCTGTTGCTGCTGCTGCTGCTGCTGCTGCTCTCATTTATGGGTGCTGCTGTTGCTGCAGGGTTTCATGTGGTGCACTTGTCTTGGGGTGTCTGGCGGGTAAGTGGCTGCGGGGGTCAGCAGCAAATAGCTGTTTGCTGCTGTTGGCTTGCTTTAAAGTTTCTCTTCGTCTCCTCCTTTGCTGCTGCTGCTGCTGCTGCTGCTGCTGCTGCCGCCCTTGGGCTCCGTCTGCGCTCCCTGCTGTCTGCTCTGTTCGCCTTTACTGTCTAGTTAAGATGCTACTTGCTATTATTATTATTATGATTATTATTATTGTTATTGCTATTACTATTATTATTATTATTATTATTATTATTGTTGTTGTTATTTTTGCAATTATTATTATTATTGTTGTTGTTATTATTATTATTTTGATTACTGTTACTATTATTATTATTATTATTATTATTATTATTATTATTATTATTATTATTGTTATTGTTGTTGTTGACGTTGTTATCATCATTATTTATTATTTTTTCCAGAACTAGTGGGAAATAAACAATTTATATTCGATTAGGTGGCTTAAAAAAAATAAAAAAGCGAAGCGGTTGCGAAGTTTAAGGGGTGCTTCTGTGCTGCCTAAAAACCTTTTGGGATTTCTTTTTGTTTCACTTTAGACAAATAAATGAAACGAAAGAGACCTTTTTTCTATTTTGCTGCTGCTGCTCTTGCAGCCTTTGTGTGGCCCGCTGGTGCTGCAGCCACGGCTGCTACCCTGCTCGTTTTGCTGCTGCTTCTTGCTGCAGGGGCTCAGCGACGAGCAGCAGCAGCTGCTGCTGCAGCGGGAGATACGCAGGGCCCAGGGCAGGGCCCCTCAGGGGGCCGCAGCAGCAGCACCCAAGAGCCCCGCCCTCCCCAGCAGCCTTTGCTAGCTGCTGCAGCTTTCTGCTGCTGCTGCTGCTGCTGTTGCGCGGCTCACGCGCCTTTTTGCCTTTTGCTGCTGAGCCCGCGCGGACTGGGGGCTCTGCAGCGCAGGACTGTTTTGTCACCTTTGCTTCTGCTCTTTGCCATCTGCTGACTTTCCGTTTGTTTATCCTCATGAGTCGCAGCAGCTAGCTAGCTAGCTAGCTAGCTAGCCACCGCATCTAGCTAGCCAGCCACCGCAGCTAGCTAGCCAGCCACCGCAGCTAGCTAGGCAGCCGCCGCTGCAGTGGCTGTTAGCCATTCGATGGCTCGCTGCGCAGCCCCACTTGTGCAGTGCGGCCAGCTGCTTTCCCTGCCACTTTGTGTAGCGGCGCTATTGCCGCTGCTGTTGCTGCTGCTGCTGCTGCCGGTTGTCTGCGTAGTGGGTCTGTAGCTGCGCTGCAGCCATCAGCACTGCTGCATGCAAAAACGCCCCCCGAAGCTAAGTAGGGCCTAGAGGAAAGCAGCCGAAGCAACGCCCTCGCAGCAGTGCAGGAGGAGGAGCAGCAGCAGCAGTCGCTGCCAGTTGCTGCTGCTGCTGTCTCGACCCTGCCAGGCGCAGCGGGGCCCCCGAGGCACCCAGCCCCAGCCAGCTGCAGCAAGGGTACACTTAGCTGCAGCACAACTGCAGCAAATTGTCTGCTGCCGCCCTACACACAATTCGTCTATGGGAAACAAAAGCGCAATATCCCTGTTTGGTCTGCTTCCAACCCTCAAGGCGCCTGCCCGGCTAGCTATAGCTAGCTTTGGCTAGCTGTGGCTAGCTATGGCTAGCTGTGGCTAGCTGTCTCTAGCTGTGTTTGGCCATGGCTAGCTGCGGCTGGCTGTGGCTAGCTATGGCGAGCTGTGGCTCGCATTTGGCTCCGTGGGCAAGCTGTAGGCGGCTGTGGCTAGCTGCAGCTAGCTGTGGCTAGCTGTGGCTAGCTGCGTCTAGCTGTGGCTAGCTGTGGCTAGCTGTCGCTATCTACGGGATTGAAGGGCAGCAACTGCCACTTGATGAGGCGCTACATCTGCTCCTTCAAGCTGTTGGCTCTTGTCTGTAGCTGCCTCTGTTTAGCTCTCTGTCTTTTCTGGGTAGCAGCAGCAGCAGCAACGGCAGTACCAGCAGCAGCAGCAGCAGCAGCACAGCAATGACGCAGGAGAGACCGCCAGCCCCGTCGCGGGCATGGTCTAGTGGCTATGACGTCTGCCTAACACGCAGAAGATCCCGGGTTCGATCCCCGGTGCCCGTATTTGTCTTTGCTGCTGCTGCTGCTGCTGCTGTTGCTGCTGCTGCTGCTGTCGTGTTGGTCGCTCAACATTGGCTGCAGCCCGTCCCCAGCTAGCACACAACTAGCTAGTTAGCCGACTAACCAGCCAGCTAGCCAAGTTGCTACTCGGCTAGCCACGTGGCTAGCCAGTTGCCCAAGTAGCTACCTAGGCTGCCAACTGGCCAGTTAGCTGCCAGCTAGCTGGCTAGCTACTCAGCTAGCCGGCTAGCTAGCTAGCTCGCCTGCTAGCTGCCGCCGTTTGTTTGGCTACTCCGCTAGCTGGGGGCCACTTGGCTTCTACAGGATCCACCGCAGCAACTGCTGCTCCTTCTAGAAATTATTTTCTTAAGGACTGTTGTCTCCAGGCCTGGGAGTTAGAGTTTAGGGTTTAGGGTTTAGGGTTTAGGGTTTTGGCGGGCGTGACGCGCCCCGGGGCCAACCCCTTTATTTGATTTTAAATCTTCTCTAGGGCGCAGCCCCTTCAAGAGGCAGCAGGTCTGAGATGGCCTTCGGGGGCGGAGGTCTCACAGGGCTTCTTACGGAACAGCAGCAGCAGCAGCAGCAGCAGCAGCAGCAGCAGCAGCAGCAGCAGCAGCAAGAGCAGCAGCAGCGGTGATAGCAGCAACAGCATCCAGCCCGTGCAAGTGCCCAGTCCTCCCCCTGTAGGGAAAAGCGGCAGACAATGTTCAGGGGACAGGGCGAGAGGAGCAGCAGCAGTAGCAGCAACAGCAGCAGCATCAGCAGCAACAGAAGGAGCAGCGGGAGCAACAGGGGTCACCTTCACAAGAACAGCAGCAGCAGCAGCAGCAGGAACGGCAGCAACCCTAATTCTTTCCCAGGAGTCTTTCTAAGCCCAACTCTGCGGCAAGAAGCTTTTCGATTGGTTTGCTGCAGTTCTCTACTCGGGCCCAAGGAAGCAGTAACGGCGTTGCTGCGGTGTGACTGCCTCTAAGCAACAGCAGCAGCAGCAGCAGCAGCAGCAGCAGAGCGACAGGGCAGCGGCGGCCGTCTCTATACTGTAGCAGCGCCTGCTGCTGGCACAGCACCTAACGATTCAGCAGCAGCAGCAGCAGCAGCAAGGGCAGACGCACAGCAACAAATCTACTAACTTATCAACAACTTTGGAACGGTTCATGCCTCGGCAAATAAATCCACAAAGTGGAGGCAAACCGGACGCACTGCAGCGTTGCTGTTACTGCTGCTGCTGCTGCTGCTGCTGCGTTCGCAGTGCTATTGCTGCTGCAGCCCTCCCTGCACTGCAGCGCGTAACACTGTTGTTGCTGCAGCAGTTGCTGCTGCTGCAGCTGCTGATGCGCCCGCGGTTCCTGCCGTTGCTGTCGTCATTGCTGCATTGAGTGCTTTGCCTGTTGCTGCTGCCGCTGCTCCTGCTGCTGCTGCCGCAGCAGCAGCAGCAGGGAGGGCAAGCCGACACGTCGTGCCCGTTTCAAATCGAGAGCCCCAGCGCAGGTTAGGCTGCGTCTGTCTCTATTTGCTGCTGAGGCTCAGCAGTGGTGTTGCGTCTCTTGCTGCTCCTGCTGCAGCTGCAGCAGCGGCCTCGGGGCCCCCCACTACGCGGCGAGGTGTACATACAGCTCCGGGTGTAGGTACAGCTCCAGCTGTACATACACTTCCAGGTGTACATACACTTCCAGGTGTGTATGTACAGCTCCAGCTGTACATACACTTCCAGGTGTACATACACTTC